TGCACCCTGTTGTCATCAGCACCACACTGTCCTGTTGGAATGTCAGCTCATATTGCATGTGATCACTTGTTTCTGCTAACCATTGTAGCTCTGTTAGTGTGTGCCCTAGGAAGAGGTGTACTCCAAACCTGGCTTTGATTTGCAAGGCAGAAGTAGTATTTACTTGAACTTGATTAGCTGAGCTTTGATAAAGGCCTGTCAAAAACATCCAGATGTTGCTGCTGTCTATGTTCATCAGTAACAATGCTTTAAGATGTATTTTTCTTTTATAAGATATAAGGGTAAGAGATATTTTTATGAAGTTGGGAAAACAGTATCAGCAACCCTCTTGCCCACAAGCTTTCTCATACTTGCATGGTAGGCTGGCTTTTCTTATTCCGCATTGCAAATTACAGGGAAGTTATTAAAAGACTGCTTGTATTTGGAATTTCTTCATTTTCTTATGTTCTCTGCCATTTTGCAAAATGTAAAGTAACATACAGTAATGCTTCTCTACATATTTTTCAGAAAAAGTCCCTAGAGTCCATAAACTCTAGGCTGCAGCTGGTTATGAAAAGTGGTAAATATGTGCTGGGATACAAACAGACTCTCAAAATGATTCGGCAGGGCAAAGCCAAGTTGGTCATCTTAGCCAACAACTGTCCTGCTTTGAGGTGAGCAGATGCATGAAAAAACAGTTCTCTTTAAAACTAAGACAGGTTCTTTGTACAAGTACAATGTGTGCTTCATGTTAATTGCTATTATTAATGCAGAGTACTTTGCTGGTGTATTCCAAAGTGTTTGTGCTAACAAAGATATTGTAAGCTTTTTACACTGTGATAGCATGTGGCTGAATTCCTGTGTTTTTTCAAAGCAGTATATTGGAAAATAATGTACCAGTGGGAAAATTGATAATTGATACTGATTTAAAATATTTGAAGTGCACAAAATTTGCTGTCCAAATAAGTTATAAGTTTTGGTTCCTGGCCAGTGAAATTGCTTTTTTGAGAATGAAATCTTTACTGACTTCCTTACATTTTCATTGTTGAATTTCTGATCCCATTTAGTTTTCAGGGGATACTGACAGATTCAGGAAACCGTAAATGCAGAAAACCAAAATTAGACGCTTGAGAAATGGCAGCACTGTTACAGTAGGCGGCATGTTAGCGGGGATCCCAAAAGTGCTTGAGGAACAATATTGACCACTAGAATCTCCTGGTGGAAGTTGGAAAAGAAGGAAATATAGATTTCCTTTCAAGAAAGAATACATAATTTCTTTAACAGCTAGTGGCAGTCAGATCTCTCTTTGGCATCAGCGTTATCACTGGGTATCAGCATAAGGGTCATTGTTTATGCACTTTGGCTTAGCACTTACAAGCTTTCAGAAGTCTGAAAGTCCTGAATCCTCTTCTTTCCTGTAGAAATGAGCATGTGTAGGAGCAACCTGAAGGATTTGCACTCCAAAAATGAGTTGCTGTTACATACCTTCAGCGTACTTCTGGATAAGGGTTTCTGAGCCACAACACAGTAGTGATGTTGTCTGGCAAGGAACAGATGTATTTTTCTGGGTAGGAAGGGAAACCGTAATGTTTAAGTGTGATTTGAGTTAAAACTGCTCTTGCTGTATTACAGTCAATCCAAATTGTTTGTCAGTACTGTAACACCTGGGTTTTGAATTTCAGAAAATCAGAGATCGAGTACTATGCTATGCTTGCCAAGACTGGTGTCCATCATTATAGCGGCAACAACATTGAATTGGGCACAGCGTGTGGAAAATACTACAGAGTGTGCACACTGGCTATCATCGACCCAGGTATGTCTCTTGCAGGATAGTGACCAAGTGGGTATGTATCAGTGGTTCCTCTGTTCATCTGTGAGTAGCAGTACTAAGCAAGTAACATGCAGGGGTGATGACATACTTTGCTGTCCTTTTCCATTGGGTTTAATTCTTAATTATAACTTCCTCTGACCAAGATCCTGGGGTTTTTTTTGTGAGTCCTAGGTTCTTGGACCCTGGAATTACTGCTGCATATATTTGCACATAGGTCCCATTACTGCCAAACCCTGTAAACGTGCATTTTGTCTGCCTCTTGATCTGTAATGAGGTTTCAGTGGGTGGGAAGCAACTTTATCGTATGTGTTTCTGAGCCCATCAGCTAGAATATGAGCTGGTGCAAAATGCTGTGGGCATCGACCTTGTCTGACTAGTCTTAATCTAAGACAAAAGGTTGTTACTCGTCCTGCTTCCCAGAGTGATACATCTAAAAATGACCTATATGCAGGTGAATACTAATCCAGGGTTGAGAATTATATTAAACATTTTAAAACTGTAAATCTGTGTGTAATTTCTATGGTTTGGTACCACACTTTTTCCCAGAGTTGCTCCAGTTCCTCATAGAGACTGCTAATTAAGGGACTTCTCATCCTCTTTCCAATATCTAAGAGAAGAATCAATCCTTTTTTCTGTTTGTTGACCAAAATGCATACTCACGGATTTAATGACTTCTGTAATAACTTTCACTGAATGTTCCCCCAGTGACATTGGTTTGAATTCACTGTTTCTTCAGAAAACTTTATTTTAGCTTGCTTGTATTCAAATATTAGCGGTAAACTTAACTTTCGAAATGTAACTTTTAGGTTTGATTGGGGGGGAGGGCAGCTAACTGCAAGCTAAGAAACTGCAAGTAAATATTATTGCTATCTAATGTAATGCGAATAATTCTCGCTGTCCTGATATTCTCGTGATCAGGGGAGGCTAGACATTCGCTATATTAAAACTATGCATTGTGTCCTCCAGGACTAGATTGTTGCTCTAGTACTGGTTTTGTAAATGCTAGTGACAGGTACATAATTGCTGTGAAAATACTGTGTATGGATTACCAAAATACAGTTACAAGTATTTTTTCATCAAGCCATGAAAATTTCTTGCTTGTTTCCTAATCAGACTGTCTTTGTATTGCTTTTAAGTTGTTTTCTATTTGTAGAATCAGTGTGTTGTGTTTTGTTGCTTTTGTTGTTTTTTTTTTTAACTTTTTGGCTTATTCCTGAAAACAGACCTTTCTGTGGGTCATCTTGTAACAATGTATTTTTGTTTTACAGGTGACTCTGACATCATTAGAAGCATGCCAGAACAAGCCAGTGAGAAGTAAATGCTGTAAAGGTGTTATTTCTACAATAAAACTGGTTACGGATCTGTTTAAAAAAAAAAAAAAATTGTATTATACCTTTGCTGGTTTTAGGGAACAAACTATAAATGAAGATTCATTACCACTGCTGTGTTTCCTGTTCTGTTAGAAATAACCTTCACAGGACAAAACTTGCCTGTTTCTTTCTCTAGAGGTTGTGGATCTTGAGAGGTAAGTGGAGTAGTAACACTTGATCATGGCGAGTCTGGTGCCAAATCTCAACTGGTTAGGGCTTCCTTAGTTTTTGGTTTTGGAGTGCTAATGCAAAACCAACTTGTCACGTGAGATACAGTAGCAAATTTGGGATGTCGGTGGGGGACCCCAAAGGGTTTACTTAACGCTAAAAAAAAAAAAAACATGCTGTTTTTACATATCAATCACAAAGTACTAATGCAAATTATCCTCTTTGTGTTTTCATTCCAAGAGAATATATATCTGTCATGGTAAATAGGGTAGCTGCTAGACAATACTTTCAATAAGATGCCAGCTAACTTCTCAGCTGACTTTAAATTATTCCCTTTTTTTTTTTTTAATTTTTTGAAGATGTTATGTTAGAGACAGATGAATTGGTGTTCTCAAGTCACTGTTGCTGAAGACATTGGTATCTTACAGATTTGTGCCTGTTTTGTGTGAGACGCTGATTGGAGGATGTTCCTTACTACTAGTGATTATTAATTGAGGTGCAAGTGCTTTGCTGAAGTGCAGTAAAAGAAACACCTAATGAAAATCAGTATGTACTGGTATCCTTGCAGAACTTGTGTTCTGTTTGCCAAAGTATGCCAAAGCATGAGGTACCTTTTAAAGCTTGCTGTTACATATCCATGCATGCTCATTAGCTTATCTGAGATCACTTAATCTAGTTCTGCTGCAACTACTTGTGCTTCTGGTATAGAATGGATGAAGCTCTGCATTTCCATTTGGTGCTATCCAAAAGAGGCAAACCAATGTGTGTCAAAGCAAAGGAGGAAGCGTTGGTGTCTGTACCTGTTAAGCCACAGGTGTGGATGAGTTCAACAGCTAGTTCAGATGCTGCTGTGTGAAAGTAAAGCTAGCAGCAGAGTGCTGTTGCTGCCAAGGGGAAGGAGCATAACTTCAAGGCACTTCAGTTGGCCAGAATGGCTGGAAGTAATTTGCTGGCTTTGTATCTTAGTGTTTGACAAACAGGTGTGCAGCTAGTTGTATTACCTGAAGAATGGTTTCATAGCAAAAATAACTGGTTGCATTCAGAAGTTACAGAATAGCTGAATGCTGACCAAAGAACAGCAGGGAGAAGTTACATGGTCTGGATGTGGTAAGAGGAAAAAGTACTTGAAACTTCGGATTCTGATACCCTGATAACCCAGTAGACTTCCCGCTTTGCTCATTTACTTTCACAGTTTCAATACAAATGTATAAATTTTCATTTTTACTTCCAACTGATTTCCGTAGTCTACTGTTGGAAGAATATAAGTGAAACCTAATCGCTGTGAATGCTGTCCCACTTGTGTTTTTACATACGTATGTATATGTAGAACTATATACATCCACACAGATAGGGTGCTTCAAATACTGGCAGAGTGAGTGGAGGAAGGAGGTACAGAAAAGCAAGCCAAATAAATTCATACCCTCAAAGTACTTCAAAACATGGAGGTTTCACTTCAAAAAATAACAGCATTTTATTATTTAGCGTAGCTCATTTCAGTTGTTTAGTTCTGCTTAATCAGAATTTTTACTAGTTACTAAATTGTTTATATATATAAAGTTTTCAATATTTCTTATCTGTAATCAATGAAAGACAGACCACCTAGTATATAGATGCAGGGATCCAAAATACTCTTTTCAATTGCGGACACAAGGTTTACTTTGAACCAGTTTAAGAAAATAGGTCTGACAAGTTTGTATGTATAAATATACAGTATATTTTGATCAGTATTTTAGCCTGCTTTCCAAGTCTTCCATTCTCTTTGTCATTTCTTCCAGTAGACAAAAGTTAAGGAAAGACAGCTACTGATAGCATGAATTAATAGAAAAAGTGTCATCTGCCTGATTGCTACAGGTTCTTGTTTCTGCTCTTTCTTACCCTCTTTGACTCCCAGTAGTTTCTGATATAACACTCCCCTGTATTTTCTTGTTCTGCTTTGATCAGCTGAGTCGAGAAAGCTGTGTGAAGTGCCATTCATTAACGGGCATACCTTGACATCGAGTTCAGGCTGCAGCTTATTAAAAAGGCCGTGGTTCTGAAAACTCTGTTTTCCTCTATTTTAAAGGGGAAGCTAAATATTTATCCTAGTTAATGCTGTTTAACAAATATTTCACTTAATCACATGGAAAACTACATGTAAGCGACCAGTAGATAATAAAACTGTACGGAGCTCCATGACTGCAGTAAGAATGTCCACTCATGATGTTATATTCTTGCCCTATGGTGGTGTAGCATAGGGTACTGTTTACAAAACCAGTGGTTTCCAGACAGATGTAGAGTAGGGCACAAGAAGGTCTGTGGTATCTAGGGGTTTGGTCCACTGAGAGTAAGAAGCTGGAGCAATGCAAAGCAGTTTACAGCATTGCTTTCCTGATAAGCGCCTCCACCTGACAGGAGTGCTATGTCTGCTGCAGGAGGAGGTTGGATCAATACCATTTAGCTAACCACCTCTCCAAGAGCCATGGTAAGGCTGGAGGTAGGGGAATCTGAGAGGAAGAGGGGACCTAGCATCAAGAGAGAACTGAGAGCCCACCTTAAAAGGACTAACTTCCTCCACCAGACTCTTTGCTTGTTTTGTCTAGTGCCTTGATTGTAGTGTTTTGAGGTCTTAGACAAGGAAAAATGGACAACTGGGCATAGAAAAGCGGGATCTTTGACAAGGGGCTGTTAGAGATTGGTTAGGGTAGGTTTCAGGCACACTGAAAAAAAAATCACAGGGTTCCCTGCTCAAATTGTAGAGCAAAAAAGCACATGTTGCTAAGCCCTGTTTTCTATGATTCTGAGTAGGCTCAGAGTTCCTCATAACCCAGCTGCAGGAGATCCCATTAAAAGAGTCTAAGGCTTCTGCTGAAGGGGGAAGGAGTGGTCTTGTCAGTATCTAGGTTGGAACGGCATGTGTCTGGATAACACGCTAAAGGATATGGGAAATCACCTAGAGATTTTTCTCCAAAGTCACTTGGAGAAGTCCCTTCAGAGATGTATAAACGTTGATGAGCATTTGAAGCATCTAGCAATAACTTTATGCAATGGATTTCCCCCTTCATGGAAGTAATTCTACTTTGCATGGAATAACTTAAAATGATAATCGAGTGATCAGAACATGATACCTTAAGCTAACTGCTGAAGGATTCACCTGGGAAGGTGGAATATATAGTGAAGCTGGCTGCTGTAGTTACGCTGAATAGCTGGAGGTAAGGCCTGACCTGGTAGGCAATTATTTTGTGTCAGGTTAAGAGCCCTCTGTGGTCTTGCCTGCTGTCACCACCACTGAGGGCTCTGTTAGCCTGGCTCTGGACAGACTTAACTCCACAGGTTCCTCAGTCTGAAGTTCTTGTCTAGGAAGTACACTATTATGAGTTGTTGGCATCACCGCACTCTTCTGTGTGGAAAATAAGTGCTTATTGATCATGAACACAGTTAAAAAACTGAAATAGAAGATGTGATGTCTTCTTACTATTTATTTGATCAGGTGGAAGCAGCTTTCATGGAGGGAAAATACAGGAATTTGCTGCATAAATACTGCATGATGCAAAGTAGTGCAGAAAGTTGTATTGCTATTTTGCTGCAGTTTTCTCCTGAGACATCTGGTGGATGTTCCAGGTAGCGTAAAAGCTACTGTACTAACTGCTCCCTCAAAAAGACAAACGTGTGTGTGGGGAAATGCTATTGATCTGCACTTACCTAATTTTTATCTCCATATTTGCTTATGCAAAATTAATCTGACCTCAGTCCTCTGAATTCCTCTTCATTTAGAGTATTGTTTTAAATGACTCCCTGCATCTGGTGCTTCACCAGGCAGTTAGGAAGGGAAGCATCTCCTGTATTGTGACTACTGTAGCCAGTAAATGCTATTTTGGTACCATCTGAAGAACTAACCCAAAGCAAAGAGTGTTAGTCATGAATTTGAGCTGTCACTTCTTTGCTGTCCCTGAAGGTGTTTACTGTTAGGGATTATTAAAAGTTAACATCGTTATTAATATTTTGGTCCCTTCTATGAAGGAGAGACAGATTTGAAGTCTTGAAAACCTTGCTTCTTGGAGATTAACATTATCTATCAAGTAGTTTAGCTTCTTATTACAGTAGATGGATTTGAGCTATGGAGACAGCTTAGACTTTGTGTTACAGTTTCTTTTAACCTGCCCCCCCTTGTCTTATATGTAAGAAACAATTACTCTGAAAGGATATATCGTTGGGTGAGTTTTCTTACTTCATTGGTTGCATAGTTCTGGAATGTTACAAGGTTTTCACATTTGCACTGGTCTTTATCTTTTGAAGCTTTTGCTGAAAAACAGAAACAGTCAAGCATAGACTAAATGCTGAATAAATCAAATGGGATGGGGGAGGAAATGACAAGGACTTATAAATGCAGAGCAGGTTTAACACAGCTTCCTATTCTCAAAACAAGTCAACATCCAAAGGAATGCTCTGGGGCAGACATTGCAAATACTGGAAAATAGCACACAACACTTAGGCCTATATATTCAAAAAGCAGTCTGGATTATTCTAAACAAAGGTCACCTGATTACCTGTTGTTCTTGTTGAGTGAGTGTGACTGTCTTCAAAAAGATACTTGTGGTGTATTGCAAGATTGGGACAGGCAATGACATCTGTGATGGCTATTGTGGTTGATTCAGGTCCTGCAGGAAACCCCCCAAAAGTCTAAAAATCAAACCCACTTCACTTAATCGTACAGTTTTCTTTTTTTTCTACTCACATGCACTGAGCTCTCCTTTAATTAGTGAGTAATCTCACTACAAAGATATGAAGGACCCAAGCCATTGGGCTGCATTTACTGTCTACAGGATTTAAGTTGTGGGTTGCAGAACTGAAAGGGAGTTGTGGAGGTTCCTATGAGAAATAGAAGCGATTGAAAGCTGAACATGCTTTAAAGCATCAAGCACAGTGTTGAAATACAAGTTTCCCCATGAAGTAATTTGTTTGGATGGGGTAAGAAGTATGCAGCCATGCATTTGTTACAGTGGATCTTGAATTTTTTTGTAGAAAGCAGACTGGAATAGCAGAAAGGAGTGTGGCAGGAAGGGGAACGGGACAAACAAATCTCTCTTAGATGAATTGTTAGGATTCTCTACAGAAGGCAGCATGAAGAGGCAACTTAGCAACGATCTGGGGAGACAGCAGGACACTGAATTAAAACAGCCAACCTGAAGGCTGTGGACCAGTCTTATGAGACCTCGCAGATGCTGGATCTTGCTGGTGAGCTGACTCTTTCAAGGCTGGTAGAAAGAAATTGCCAAAGGAAATGACATCACAAAAGGAGCAATAAAAATGTTCACACTCCCTAGAAATGGAGATGTTACTTACCAGTACCTTAGCATTTCTCTCTGTCTCATAATATATGGAGAATGCCTCATACCTGTGCAGTTGATGGAAACCCCAGGACTCGCCCTTCAACTCATACTATCGGAGGAACTCTTCCTAAACCAGAAGTGCTTTACGAATAGATTAATAGTAGTGAAGCAATCTGAAATTACAGCAACCTACTTTGTCTCCTTCAGTAAAAAATTCTTGCATGTTTCATTGTCATCCATCAGTCCTTTGGGATGAACTGAATAAGAATAAAAAGTGCTTGGAGAAGGAAGAAATTTCTTGTTCTCCTTCAGTTTTCCCCTTAATAATGGGAAACATTGATCTGGGAGTTGGGAGTGTTTAGGTGAGAGGGGTGCAGTAGAGTTTATTTGATGCACTACAGTTCTAAGCAAAAAGACAAGTTTCTAATTCATGAAACAGCCTTTAAAATGTGGGAATTTATTTCAGGCTCCACATACCTATCTTTTTAGTCAAAGGGTGTCTAGAGAGAAATGAAAAGCTGTTTTATATGTAGGTATCACCACCACAGGAGTCATTCTGTGCAGTATCCCTTTCTTGCCGCAAGAGGGTAATGTAGAGGCAGCTTTGCTTCCTTAAGAATCGTTTCTTTTCTAGAAAATAAATGCTTCACCTTCAATTAACTGTGGAGCCCTTAATGGCCCAGAAGAGCTGAAGAACATACACGTAACAACGGCACAACTTGATCAGCTATGCCAGGGGAGTGGATGGAGCATTTGGGACTCCCTGCAAATATACACAAGAGTTCCTTCACTGAATGTGAATGCGTGAGGGTAAAAGGTGATGGTGCAAACTCTCCTAATGTGCTGTGAAGACGCAGTAGAGATGTGGAAGATACTTCTGGGCCCCACAGGTTTGTTACAGCTATTGGGATCTGTGTTGGTCCAGTGGATTTTGACAGATGTGTAGCAATATGCAGCTGTGCTAAGTTGCACTGGGAAGGAGATGAGATCCTCTGTGTGGGGGCTGGAATGCCTGAGCGTGAGGAATGGGCAATGAACAGAGATTAGTGGTTGAGTAAGAAGATCAGAGTGTAGTTCTGCCCACTGAAATATATATATCAAAAAGTCTGTGTGGAACCAGCTGATGGAAAGAACACAGATTTTTGAGAAGAGTTCAGTGCAGAGAGGTGTGGGATGCGATCATGAGGTAAGGAATTAAACAAACTGGGTGAGGAGTCTAGCAGAAGAATGATCAACTGGGAACAAAGATGGTGAGATTTCCAGCGTAGGAGGAAAGAAACAGGTAAGATGAAACTTGAGTGTTTGACCCTGAGTAATGGCTTGCTCTAGAAATTTAGAGGCTGTCTTTGGAAGAGCAGAGGAACTGACCTGAAAAGTTTGAGCTGTGGACACTGGGCTGGTATAGACAAGTAATTGGGATTCAGATACACGGGACGGGAAAGAAGACTGATAGATGCAGAGGCAGAAATGTGACAGAAGGTCTCCAGCTTGGGATGGGAATTGGGCATTATGGAAACTCCTCTTCAGGCTTCAGAAACTGGTTTGGGCCCAAAGATTTCTGACGTCATCACCTCTGTAAAGCTGTGAATAATCAGACAAGTAGCAACAGAGGCTGCTAAACCCAAGTCACTTGGTGAAGTCAGTGCAGTGAACATAGATCTTTGAATTTGTTGGGAAACAATGCTAAAGTTGAGTGTTTGGTTTTAGTATTCTGTTTTCTAACAAAACCTAAGTATTTTGTTAGGAAAAGCCTGTGAGAAAGTGTCTTCAAAAATACATGTCTTCAAAAGCAGTGGCAGACTATTCGCAGCAGTGAAAATGATCCGCAGTTTGGAAGGAGAACAGAATGTTAACCAGCAGGTTGCTGAGTACTGTCATCTGATCAGGGCTGGGGTCTTGGGACAAAAATAGTATGGGACCATGTAATTAAAGGCTTCCATAGTGCACATGCTCAGAACAGGGGTGAAGAGGCAATCATGATGAGTGCATATTACGTATGACATTGCTGTAGCCTCGTTAATGCTTCCAGTCAGATATGCTGTAGCCTCGTTAATGCTTCCAGTCAGATAAGAAATGAACATTAACCAAAGCAATGAATGGGAACCTTCTGACTGAAAATAAAAAATAAAAAGAGGCAAAAGAGAAAGCCATTTTATTCTTCATGACTAGTAGTAAAAAAAAAAAAAATAATTAATACCCGTCAGCAGCTGTTCTACAAAGCTGATGCTTTCTTGCAGAATAAAAGGAAAAACCTTATCCCAAAAGAGATTTGGAGGGATTCTGCTTTACTTGGAAACATGCAGCCCATCCACAGGTGGGACTGGGGATGAGAGGCTTTGTCAGTGGAGTCCATGAGGTTCAGAGGGTCTCCCACTGCCCTCGCAGGCTGGAGCCTCAGAAGTCCTCAGCTAAGGACTAAGGCTTGAGTAAAAATGAAATTACTGCTGTTGCAAAGGAGGGAAATAATTAAGGCTGTAAACCAAAACAGGGAAAAAAATGAGCTTGTGTAACAGGCTTGAAAGCAGAATTTCTGGTGGAGTGAGTTGATGAGCAATAGGTAGTCCTGGAGTGTCCAGCAAAACAAGGCTGGGTCAGTCCTCGGTTCACAGGTGTGAGGCATTGCCTGTTGGTGAGAGAGGAGGAGGAGACAGAAGCTGAGAGGCACCAGCTCTGCCCGCTTACTAGAGGTGTAGTCTAGAAACTGCCACAAAGGGGCAGGACTTACTTATTTTTCATAAGTAACGTAATAATGTAGTTAAAAAAAAAAAAAAAATCGTGGTTGCTAAACACTGCTGTGGGTACCTGAAGGATGCATTTCCATCACCGAGCTCTGGGGTTTGCTAATGAGTGAGAATTATTATACCAGTTGCCAGAAAGTTTTTGCTTTGGCGTCTCCCCACGCTTTTAAGATGACATGCTGTCATCAGCAGATTATCTGCCTAATAAGAAGGTTAATTTAATAGACTTGGTTTCATGCTGTCATAGTATTTTGAATTTCAGAAAGATGAAACTAGGACTTCTTAGGACTGAGAGAATCACAAAAGATATACCAGCTAGGAAACATTCTCACATTCTTTCTTGACATCTGTATGCGGAAGAAATGCACTGCTGCTTGCCAGCCAATTTTACACAGTAATGTTAAGGAAGAAAATAAAAGCTGTTTGCATTTAATTCCAAGAAAAACAACCAAATAAAAGATAGTGAAAATTAAATAATCTTGAACAATTCTAGTGCTATTGACTAGTATTATTCACATTGACACTTCTGAATTTTGCTTCAGGTACCAACTTCAATGTACAAATAATACTGAGTCCTGTCCTTGCTCTGGCTGAAGAGCTTTTGTCCCAGCTCACATTCCCCCTTCCCCTTACAAAATTTCAGCTGGGATTGTTTATAAAAAGCCTGTTTGTGCCAGAGTGAGGAAGGGTGCTTTCTGGCACAAACCTGCCATATTTGTGCATAACTGAGACCACTCTTTATAGCTGTGAATGTGTTAGGTGAACTATTTTTAGTCTTCTATAAATATGCACAACAGCTCTTGATGATCTGTTTTGCTGTGGTTTAGGTTTTTGCCACTGGTCTTAGGAGTAATTTTTATTCTCATTAAGCCATTACAAATCCCTGATTATTTTCCCACATTCCTAATGAAGGAGATCATGCTTCTTTGGCGGGGTGGGGTTCAGTGCATGCCTGACTTAACTGTAGGAAAAGAAAGAGGAGGGAGCAATTGATTCTTCTGGCTACAGAAGTGTGCATTTTATGCAACCTTTATGAAATTAAGGGAAAGACAATTATTATGTACCTTTACCTCCTGATAGGTTAAGGGTAGATATTCCTCACATATTAAAGGACAGAAAAATTACCATGAGGGACTTACGCCTTGCCGTGTTTGACACCAATGATCTATGACCTATGGTATGACACTAGTTGTCCTTTTAGGCCTGCAAAAAATCTATAAGCATTAATTCCTCTTCTGTCTCAATGAAAGTGAAACACTCTTACCTTCACAGATTTGGGCTCTTAGCTCTTCACTTATGTCCTCCATAGCTGTGAAATCCTCAGCATAGAAGAGATGTTTATATGATGGCTCCGAAGCAATTTCCAGCAGTTCTTCCTCAATTGCTTTTCCTATTCCAATGGCATAGATAATTATACCTAGATTTAAAAGAAATTGCACATAATTATTACATCAGCAGTTCTAAACCCTTGCTCCTCCATGAAAGGAAAATACGAGCATTAGTCACTTTAGAGAGAGAGCACAAGAAATGTATATGCTGTGTAACTTCAAAATCAGTTTTGAACAGGCTTAATGTGCTTTAATTATTGAGAGACGTGCAGAAACTCACTGCTTTGCTGTAATTTAACAGTTTTTAAGTTAAAGAGATGACAGTTGCCTGGCCACTACTGATAGTAAATGAAGCCAGAAAGAGCACTGCAAAACATCCAAGAGAATCACACAAGATTTCAGTTGCACTGGAAGTTCCTGGTTTGTGTGTGTCTGTATATGTAGGGTGTGTGCAGTAATGCTAATTACTGGGTTGATAGGAAGACCTGTTATGTATTAGCAAAGGGGGCAGAATCCTGAAAGATGGCAGTAATTTTTTTAGAATAATATAAAAACCTAGTGTTTCATTGAAATCCTCAGAGCACCTTGAGACCAGATTCTTGCACTCGAAGGGACACTAGTGGGCTGGGAGGCACTGCAAAGGCACCCAGACCCACGAGGGTAAGAACAGGGGAAAAGAAATTATTTGCAGGGCTACGAGAGAAAGAGCTTTACAACAGGGATGCTTGGGACATGAATTTCCCCAGCTGAGGTGCTAGGGAGAAAGCAAATGAGGATTTGTAGTTTTCTTCACTCTGAAAGCAGGGAAGGAGGAAGTGGTTCACAGCCCCCTCGCTGGGCAGATTTTAAACAAACAATGAAAACAAAACTTAGTGATCTTCAATATCCCCCTTGTCAGCCGTTATTTTTTTATTATTGTGAACGTATGTTCTGATACAACACTTCTCTTTACCTCAGTTCTGGCTTAGAAAGCGTCCACAACTATTACTGATTTTTGTTATTCATAACACAACTATTAGCTTCATAGTATTTCAAGCTCTTTTGTAAGATTCAAGAGCAGAAGCTGCCTTCTCAGCTGATTAGTTCTGGATAAAACAGGATGACGAGGTTTGATAACTCTTTATTATCATGTGGTAATAACAGCTACAGGCTCACTGAATTGCAACACTAACCTTTTTGCTGAAGAATCCCGGGCCTGATAACATCATAAAATACACATTTTCCAACTCTCTAACATTTAACGTAAGCATCTCCTTACTTTTCGTCATGAATCTGCCGACCATTGCACTTTAGCCAGGAAAGTAAAACATTCACCAGAAGCTGAGTCAGTTTAATGAATGGACCAGTCATGCTGAGGTCTGTTGCTTTTTAAAGACTTGGAGATATCACTGATAAAGCATTCAAGGCCAATTTCATATTCAGCATTACTACATTGCCTATGCTGCAATTACACAGGGGATGGATTTGGCTTGTAGCATTACAAATATCAGTGTAAGCAGTCCGGAGCTGAGGTTTCGTTCAGCAAGTAAGCAAGGTTGGCTTGTACTTCTTTCCTTCTTCAGTCCTGTAAATCCTCCATGTGTTTTCCCAGCTCTCACTAGTTAGTGTATAAATCTTTGGGTTTGTTTTTAATATTTTAAAAACCACTTTGTTTTTATCTCATTGTAATGGCATCCTTATTAGCACATGCTCTTCTTATATGCTTGGATGTTTTTCCCTGTTCTCCTTACAGAGAGGTATCAGTCCTGACCAGTGCTATACTAACCATGTATCAAGTTACGATTGATATATCAAGTCAATAAAACAGGAACAGAAAAATGTGCAGCATCTTCTAAAGTCTGGCTGTTTTCTCTGTTTTATGGGCTATCAGCTATGGTTCTTAAAGCAGTTTCTCATAAAATAGAAAATGTTTTGCGAAGAAAAAAGGGATCCTTTATTTTCTTGAAAAGTTTTGAAAATTTTCAGTTGACTCTGCTAAACAGCTGAAAAGTTTTTGATTTCTGGTACAGGTGTCCTAGAGGATGGATTTCTGCCCTGACTGAATTCTAATTCTAAATTAAAAATCACTAGTTTTCAGTTACATTTCAGCATACCATCTCATAAGGCACACAGAAACAGAAAGACAGACAGCACTACAGCTATATCCTTTTGTAAAGAGGACCTATTTTCCTTCCAGAACACCATCAGCACTATAAAATTGACTAAAAATACAAAATAATGTGTAACAGAAAATATAACATAACCAATTAGAATCATAGAATGGTTTGGGTTGGAAGGGACCTTAAAGATCATATAGTTCCACCCCCCCTGCCATGGGCAGGGCCACCTCCCACTAGACCAGGTTGCTCAAAGCCCCATCCAGCCTGGCCTTGAACACCTTCAGGGATGGGGCCTCCACAACTTCCCTGGGCAATTTGTTCTGGTGCCTCACCGCTCTCAGAGTGAAAAATTTCTTCCTGATATCTAATCTAAATCTACTCTCTTCCAGTTTGAAGCCATTCCCCCTCGTCCTATCACTACATGCCCGTGCAAAAAGTCCCTCTCCAGCTTTCTTGTAGGCCCCCTTCAGATACTGGAAGGCTGCTGTAAGGTCTCCCCGGAGCCTTCTCTTCTCCAGGCTGAACAACTCCAACTCTCTCAGCCTGTCTTCATAGGAGAGGTGCTCCAGCCCTCTGCTCATCTTCCTAGCTCTTCTCTGGACCCGCTCCAACAGGTCCATGTTCTTATGTTGAGAGCTCCAGAGCTGGACACACTATTCCAAGTGAGGTCTCAGGAGAGCAGAATAGAGGGGCAGAATGCCCTCCCTTGACCTGCTGGCCACACTTCTGATGCAGCCCAGGATACGATTGGCCGCCTGGGCTGTGAGCGCACATTGCTGGCTCATATTGAGCTTCTCATCCACCAACACCCCCAAGTCCTTCTCCTCAGGGCTGCTCTCAGTCCATTCTCTGCCCAGCCTGTGTTTGTGCATGGGATTGCCCCGGCCCACATGTAGGACCTTGCACTTGGCCTTGTTGAACTTCATGAGGTTTGCACAGGCCCACCTCTCCAGCCTGTCCAGGTCCCTCTGGGTGGCATCCCTCCCCTCTAGCGTGTTGACCGCTCACAGCTTGGTGTTGTTGGCTATACTATTACCATAGTATTTCTCAAGAGAATAGATTTCTGTACTTTGAAGAGACAGGTTGGGTTTTTTTTTATAGTTTTCTTAAAATTTTTTAGGAAGTTCCAAGTGTTCCCAAATCTCTGTATCAAATGTGTACCGTTAGTGGATATATTCAGGGTACTGCATGGCATGCAAGGTGGGTAGTACCACTACCTGTGGATGGCACGGAACCCCAGTGGTGAGACACTCATCATGGGTCCTGCACTAGGGATGACATACATGCCTTGTAGCAAAGGCTCCTGTGAACACCAAAGATCTCATGTTCTGCTACAGTGGTCACTGTACTAGCCAGACTGCTATGGCATATGCTCTCTTGATTAGCACATACTGTAGCATATCCATACTATTACCATATCTTATTTCTAACTATTTGCCTTTTAAAATGAGTAAAAAACATCTCCACTTACCATTTCGCTTTGCCCTAGCAGCCCACTCGGAGACTTCATCTTGGGCTCGTCCATCCGTAAACACAATGGAGATTCGAGGGACATTTGCTGATAATGGTCTTGCTCCTTCTGTTTCTGTGAAGCTTCTCTCAAACATTTGCTTCAGAGCCAGTCCTGTCATGGAACCTCGCCCCATGTATTTCATTTGTGATACAGCTTTCTTCATGTCTTTGGCTGAGCTGAACTGCTTTAGCGTAAACTCTGTGCGAACTTCAGTGGAATACTGAAGCAAACCAACTCGAGCAGCTTTGGGTGAAATCTCAAGTGTGTCCAAAATTCCTGAGACAAATTGTTTTACAATTTCAAAATTATCCTCTCCGAGACTTTTTGATCCATCAATCACAAACACCAGGTCAACTGGGCCTTCGGTGCACCCTGTGAAATAAGCAGCAGAGCATTCAGATCATGAAAAAACTGCACAAAGCTGAAGGAGGGACCTAGATACCCAGGGACTGCATAAACTCAGAGATCAACTGGAGTACCTTGTTCCTGGCTCATCCACCTTTGCCAGTGTGTCTGAAGATATGTTGTACAGTCTATATCAAAAGCTAAGAGTGTGCCTATGACCAAGAGTTTAACAAAAATGTAATCACAGTGAATACTTACCGAGACATACTACTTTGCAGAATACTACAACTCTTAAAAATACAGCAACAATCATCAAATTTTAAGAATGACTGTTAAGTGGAGAGAATTGTGTAACAAGAACAAAGCTAGGATATAGAGACAGACCTGCCGTATTTTTTTTCCAGGGATAAGCCATTATGGTAATTTTACATTTGTGTAGATGACCAGCACTGAAAGATGTGGAAGAGAATCACTGGAGCTGCATTTGTGCTGCAGAAGTAGCAAAAAGGTAAAGGTGGTACAAAGAAATGAGTCAGTAAAGCCACACTTGTATATAAGGTGAAAATCTAGGAGTCATATTTAGAATGGCAGGGAACAGTGAGGCAAAAAACAAAGCTTGCGGAAGGCTGAGCAAGAAGAGAAGGGTTAGGTAGCCTGCCCTAGAGCTTAGGATGAGGTTCAAGTCTGGAGATGAAATTCAGACAATGCACATGTTTTTTATAGCACAAACGTAAACCTCTAGTGGCAGAAAAACAGGTAAAAAACTATAGGTGAGAGAGTAAATGCTAGAAATGTGCCTGGCTGCTAAACATGCATCTGAATTGTTTATATAAGTTTATTTTGCTTGTAATGGTAACAATCTTGTAATTAGAAGGCTTATGTATTGCTGAAATTAACCTTTTATGGTTTACCTATGTTGTGGTTTCAGCTGGGATGGAGTTAACTTTTTTGCTAGCAGCTGGTGTATTGCTATAGTTTGGATTTGGGATGAGAAATAGAGTTGATAGCACCTGGTGGTGTTAGTTGTTGCTGAGCAATCAAGGCCTTTTCTGGTCCTCCCACTGTCCCTCCAGTGAGCAGGCTGGGAGGGCACAAGAAGTTTGGAGGGGACACAGCCGGGACAGCTGACCACAACTGACCAAAGGGATATCCCATACCATATGACATCATGCTCAGTATGTAAAGCTGGAGGAAGAAGAAGGAATAGGGGACATTCAGAGTTACAGCGTTTGTCTTCCCAAGTAACCATTACGCGTGATGGAGCCCTGCTTTCCTGGGGAGGCCTGAGCACCTGCCTGCCGATTGGAAGCAGTGATTGAATTCTTTGTGCTGCTTTGCTTGCGTGTGCAGCTTTTGCTCTACCTATTAAACTGTCTTCATCTCAACCCATGAGTTTTCTCACTTTTACTGTTCCAATTCTCTCCTCAGCCCCAAGCGGCAGGAGTGAGTGAGCAGCTGCATGGTCCTATCTACCGGCTGGGGTTAAGCCACGACAACCCATTAAAGCTGGGGGCTTGTCAGGAGACTGACAAATTTGGAGCTTTTATACTTTCTGGCAAGTGCACACGCAAAATCAGAGCAGTTTGTAGGCACCGTGCATCCGTGACAAGGTTAGGGAATTTAGGGACTGGAGAATATCTTCAAAGCTGCAGAGTGGTTCTGCCAGGTGGTTTTTTATTCTGGAAAGCAATAGCCTCCAGCAGGCATAGACTAATGTGCTTTGTGCTTTGTGGGGCTGGCTGCAGAGATGCTCAACTCCTATTTGATCAGTGTCACTTCCAGGGAGAATTTGCCATACTAAGGAACGGAAGATTTGCATCTTAGTCTGGACCAAATGAACTTTGACCTCCACTCATCTCTGATCTTTGTATAAAGAGTGCTGTAAGCACTATACAAGAGAGAATCGTGCAGCAGAAATAACTGAAAATGTCTTTACTAAGTCAGCGTAGGAATAAGGAATTTTCAGCTTTAAAGCCTGTACTTTTCTTCTTAGACAATAGCTCTATTGTAAAACTGCTGTCCAAGAATTCCTTTCTGCAGTCATTTGAGGAAAAGATGTGTCACAGGTACTAAGGTGATGGAAATGCAATGAATGGGAATATCAGAACCACCTCAGTATCATTGCATAAGTCAAGATAGGGCAGCAGTTCATGGTGAATAGTTCTAGTTAGGGTTGAGATCAGCCATGAACACGTTACCGTTCTTTTGGTAGTAACAGTCTCCCCAGCTAAGGCATCCATTTTTGCAGAATAAGTGTTTTTACTGAGTTCCAGTAGAAGAATTTCTCCTCCAAGTATTAAGGGGTGATGAGATAAATGCATGTCATACTCTAAGCATGTCATGTTAGAAGATAAGCAAATAGAATTAATGATATTTTAAAATGGAGTACATAAAGATAAAAACTCCACAGTAAACGAATCTGATTAAAGTGCACATTCCTTGACAATAAAATTTCACTTTGGCTTTTTTCCTGATGTTTGGAAAGAATTATTATCATACTTGATGCTATACCAAAACAACTGTTCCAATTTGTTCCAATTGTTTCTTGCTTACAAGAGCATCAAGTTGATTGTTCAAGACATTTTCCATCACACTCACATATGCTTTCAAATAGTATACCGTTTTTGAAGTGAAACATATTTTTAAGTAAGGTATTTGAAGTGAGTAATTTTAGAAATCAAAGAAACAAATGCTTTCTAAATGAAATGTACTTACTTCTGCATGTTTTCTGATCCTCTTTTAGTACATATCCCTCCTGGCATTTGCAGATGTATGAATCGTTATTATTAACACAAATATGTTCACAACCATGGGCAACTGATTTGCAGACATCTTTATCTAGAAAAAATTGAAATATTCATATGTATTCTATTTAATATTTATACATTCAAAGACTCCAAGCATGATATTTGAAGACTGTATGACAAAGGAGTATAATGACTTTGTTTGTTTATGTAGCAATGCCAGAGAAGAGTGGCTGACAGACATACTGAGTTACTTACCTCGACATGTTTTCCCATCTGGTCGCAGAACAAAACCCTCATGGCACTGACAGCTGTATGAATTGTTATTATTAATGCACACGTGTTCACAGCCATGGTCAATGGATTTACATGGGTCTTTATCTGAGAATTGTTAAGAGAATTTCCTTATTAGACCATTCCTCAAATGCACAACGAGCATGTACAAGCTTCGAGTGAAATTAAGTCTGTTTTTTTTTTTTTTATGACTGAAAAACATATTCCCCATAAAAGTTTCAGCTACTCACTCCTGCATGTTTTCCTGTCTCGCCTCAATATAAATCCTTTGTGACACTGACATGTGTATGAATCGCCAGTTGGAACACAGACATGTTCACAACCATGGTTGACTGTTTTGCAGATATTTTTACCTTGGAATAATGAAAATGATATTTAGCACAGTTACCTAGGTAAATAACTTTCACAAAATGTAAAAATTATGGAAATAATCTTCCATGAAGGAGCTCACTTCCATGAAGTTGATTAAAGACACGAATAACACACTACTGTTGCATAGTGTGTTTCATTAACAGATCAGGAAGTACAAAACAAAGATTAAACAACTTACTCCTACAAGTTTTCCCATCTTCCCTCAGTATGAAGTCCTCATGACACTTGCAGATATAGGAATCATTATTATTAACACAAATATGTTCACAGCCATGGTCAACTGAGTTGCAGACATCTTTATCTGAGAAGAGTGGATGGAGTTTGTGAGGTGAGGTACGTTAGGGAGAGATGGTATCTTTTATTAACCAGCTCAGATAGTTGGAAATCACAAACATACACACGTGCAAACACTCACAGTCACAACACATAAAAGCCTCAAATAGAAACATACTTCTATAGCTCAGGCTACTCACATCTACATGTCTTTCCATCTTCCTTCAGTATGAATTTTTCATGACACTTGCAGATGTAGGAATCTTCAGTATTCACACAAACTTGTTCACAGCCATGGTTGACCGAATTGCAAACATCCTTGTCTGCAAACAGAAGAGTTGGTAGTCAACATAGAGCAGCAGAGGCCTCGATTGTATGTGTAATTCATCAAATTAAGTTCTCATGCTACTTACTTCTGCAGGTTTTCCCATCTTCTCTCAGTAGGAACCCATCATGGCATTTGCACATATACGAATCATCAGTATTAACACAAACATGTTCACAGCCATGGTTGACTGATTTGCAGAGATCTTTATCTGAAAACAGATGACAGCTCTTGCTGGTTAATGCATTTCTACACAAGCACAAGCCACAGATAAAAAGTATGCTGATAAATATCAGACTACTTACTTTTGCATGTTTTTCCATCTTCTCGTAGCAGGAATCCGTCCTGACAGTTACACACAAATGAATCACCAACATTAACACAAGCATGTTCACAGCCATGGTTGACTGATTTGCAAATATCCTTGCCTGGGAATAGTTAGATAATATTTAAAGTGGTTTGCTAGTTAAACTTTTTTTATAAATACAAAGAATGTAGGGGTAATCCCAGGAACAAAGAAAGATGGAAGCCTGCAAACTGAAAGCAAATCTCTGGCTAGTTAAATTACAGACAGCTTAGCTTACATGGAGCATGAGTTCTTTACCTTCTGAGCAAAAAGAATTGCATGGTTTGCATGGCCTCCCACTGACAATAAATCATTTTAGGACTAATCTGACTAGATTAAGGAGGAGTTTACATTAAGAACAGTAAGAGTGAAAGGAGGGAATAATTTAGTACCGTCATTTAGCACAAATTCATACTGGTAAAAACAAAATTAAGTAAAACACCACAGGACATGACACAAAGTAGTTCTTTAACATCCTTACATCAATGCCACGAGTCTGCATAAACAAACCCCGGAAGAACAGAAACTACTCATTTAAGAGGATAAATAAAATCTAACTGGTATTGCTGAAAATTGATGGGAGGATTTGTATGACTGCAATGTTAAAACCAGTTGGTTAAAACCTCTTCAAGAAGGATAGATGGGGAGAAAGTGCAGAAGTGGAGCCATCTATCAGCATTCCCTGTTTCTTTTCACTGCAACACAAAAGAAAATATTCTCAATTGGTAGTGGAGAACTACCTTTACATAGAAAGTAGAACAATACTGACAGCCAAGTTCAGATTGACTCTTCAGCAAAATACTTCTGTTTAA